TTTTTTTGGGACTAGTATCTTTTATTCTGGTTTGCCTGTTTGGTGTGCTTGTATACCAACACCGACGAAACAATCTTTCATCATGAGCTTTTATTCTTTTTGGTCTTTCGGTTTTTCTTGGGACTTGTATATTTTTTCTGGTTTGCCTGTTTGGTGTGCTTGCATTTGGTCTGCCCTCCCGCCTCCCCCACGCCCTCCAGGCTCCAGCCTATTGGTTCACCTCACTGCTTTTAGCCTTGAATTCTTGGTTTTGGCATGCCTTGATGCTTTTCTTGTCTGCCTGACCTTGGCAAGTGGGCACCCTGTTGGGACTTGTTTTTTTGGTTTGTCTGCTGGTGTGCTTGCTTATTGTCTGCCCTCTTGTCTTTCCCATGCCCTCTACCTTCTTCCCCCGAATACAACGGACGGTCATTATAGCTGTATTTGAGGCATCTTTCAGTCTAGATACAGCTATAATGACCATACGTTGTATTCGGGGGAAGAAGGTAGCCTCTATGTCTGGCACTGTGGAAAGCTGGTCATGGATAACCACGTATGTATGTACGAGGTAGCTTCACCTTTTTTTTTTTTTTTTTTTTTTTTGTATACGTGGTCATGAGGCCTGCCAGCATTCACCAGAAGTAGTAGAGTGGCATTATACAGGGTTAATTACGGCAGGGTGGGATGGACCATGGGTTCCATGGGTTGCATGCAGAGTACGCCATGGGATATATACTGGACACACACACACACACACACGTGGGCGTGCGCCCGTGCACAGATGCGCACGGTTTTTTTATATAATTATTATTATTATTTAATTCTACTACAATCTAGGCTACCAGAGTGGGCCAGGACCACTTGCTGGCCGGCCAAAAGAAATTGAAACAAAATAAAGTAAAATGTTTTTTTTGGGGAGGCAAGTAGGTTTGAGTCACACGCAGCGTTCAGAATAGGCAACTTTAGCAGTTCCCCAAAAGGAGCAAAAAAGGTGACCCTAAATCTGCCCACCGCCACTGCAGGTAATGGCTGGTGCAGTTTTAGACCACCGCTAAACTTGCACATTTTGAAACCGACACCATGACACAGTCGACACTTGCTCCACCTCTTTTCTTGCGTATTTCAAACTAAAAGCGTGTCACAGCCACAGCTCCCCCTTTTCTTTTTTTTGGGGAAGTAAAGAATTTGGATGTGACCCTATGGCAAAAGTTGTTCAGTTTACTTTTGAGCATAACATAATGAGTTTTTTCAGAATTTTCGATTTTTTTTTTTTTTGCTGGGAGCCTGGGACCTTCTATGGTCCTTGCACGGCCAGGCAGCCAGCCTGGAAAAGAAGGTGACCCGGGCCGCCCGGCTGGCAGCCTAGACTACAATCAGATTTTTTTGGTTGTTGCCTTCCCCCACTGTGACGCGCAACCTCACACCCTGTGCTGTCTTTCGTTCGGAGTGCTAAAGGTGCGGAACAAAGGCCCAGAAAAACAGCCAGATGGGGTGTGCCAAGGATTTTTGGAAAATTGAGTGTGGGGACACAGACAGAACTGAAATCCCCCGTGTTGGCCCGATGAAGTAAGTCGGTTGCTTTCGCGCGTTGCAGAATGCGCGCGCGGGCACGGCGCGAAAAGAGAAAAATCCAAATTCAATACAAAAAGTATTGTCGAGCTTCCCACCGCGCTACGGATCTTTGTTTAGAGCGGAAGGGTTTCGGCACACTCCGCATATCCCGTGTCCGTATCAAGTCCCGACGTCGCTCGTTGGTCAGTTCCGAGTCTGACGTGGATGGTCTTAGTCGCGTGGCTCTTTCCTTGTGCTCGTCCTCACTCCGTATCCGGTAATGGAAGCCCTTCGATTCATAGCGATCAAAACGCTGGCACTCAGTGCACAGGGTTCGAGGCCAATGGGGCGCCACTGCCGTCCACGGAATGACGATCAGCTCGTTAAATGCCAACAATACTGAGTAGGGTGGAAAGTGCATATCGATGATGACAAAGCCCGCATCCACGAACCCGGAACAGCGATTTTCCGGAGGGAAGTAATATTGCCCGCCGATGCGTGCGACAGCTTCCCGTACGTCCCACTCACATACACGTGTCCTCTCCTCGTTGTAGGGGAAGGGGCGTGTCGGCGAGGGAGATACGGAAGGTTGGCGCCCGATCGAGGAATGGCCGTTAGTCCACATATCAATCAACCAGACGGAGTTTACACAAATCCTCGAGACGTCATCAAAAAGCACAAAAAGAATTAATTAGTATCTTCCGCACAATCATGCATTAATCGAATGGAGTTCCGAGGGATCAACCCGCGACTCAGTTTCAGCAAACCAGATCAACAAAACACGAGGCGCCTAGCTTTTTCGAAGCTGCCTCACAGATTGTCTGTGGATGTCATGCAGCATAAGGCAGACGGCATGCGCAGTGCACTCAGAACGACAGATCTAAACACTCTTGCATTCTCGACTAAAATCCCGTTGAACTCGGGGTCTAATCAATGCAAAAATACAACTTTATACAAGCATCTGTATGCATACATCCACCGTGGAAGGTGCGAAAATGACAAGGGTGCACAGGTCAGAAATCAACCGAGGGATTGCACACACGCATCCACCGTTCACAAGACAAGAAAATTAAGTTCTCGACATCTAGGGATTACCCAGGAAACTAATGGAAGAGTTCCGGAAGAAGTTCTTTCGCGCAAGAACTCTCAAGTGTTCGCTTCGGTTCACAGGAGAGATAAGCCCACAACACATCGTCATTCAAGTCAGAGGGAGAGAGAGAGAGAGAGATGGGTGGGATAGACGAGAAAAAGTCGAGACTGACGACATCATAATTCAACAAGAGAGCATTCGGCTTCTCAGCCATGAACTCACACCAAAAGAAATGATCCGCAATCATGAAGGCGCATTCGCCGTGAAATTCCAATATGGCCCCAGGCCACTCATGCACTCAACTCCAATCACAAATCCTCATACCCGCACCGACGATCCCGGCCGTCGCGTGCTAACTTCCGCCACTGCGATCGTCACCCCGCTGACGTAGACTCGACTTGGCTCGCCCGTATCCCACTGCGTCGTGGCGATGAAGCGCGCAGCTGGTCAGACTACAGTCAGCCCGACAGGACTTTTCGACTCCCACCAAACACCTCACCTAGCCACTGCTTCCAGGAAGCAGGCTTGCGAGTGGAAAACGTACGAGAGTTTTGCGGGCGCGCTTGCGGAATTTATAGTTGTGAGAAAGGAGATAGATGGAAGAGGAGACGGAGGGGAGATCAAGGTGTAAGGGGAGAAGGTTCAGCGAGAGGTGCTCAAGGCCCGTCAAGGGAAGCCCTGTTGATCCTTCAGAACCCGAGAGTCGGCCAATCACATTCGTCGCGCAATGAGGAAATCCTCTTACTCAACGCGTCTGATTGGTGAGCCGGGGTAAGCGGAGGATCAACCGGGCTTCGCGAGCCAAGATTGAAGATCAAGGAGAGACGAGGCGCGAGAAGTAGCGCGAGACAGGTCCAAGATTCAGATGATCAAGAAGGGAAAACAAGCGCGCAGAAAGCAGAGAGGGAGAGAGGGAAAAAAAAACAGTTGCGATGGGACAAGAAGGGGAGGGGGAAGGGAGAGAGGAGAGAGTGGGGGGGAAGGATAACGCGGGAAATAAGGAGGAGGAAACTCGCATGCGCTGTGACGACAACAAGAGAAAGAGGCACCAAAACAGTTACAACTTGCCTATGCCCAAAACCAATTAAAAAATTGAAATCACCATATCCGCGCGCGAAAGTTGACGCGGAAAAAGAAATTCCTATCCCTATCCGTATTCTCACAAAATTCCTAAAGTTTTCCCGACGTGACCGAGAACATTCATGCAGGAAAAAAATACCTCGGGCTCCGCTTATTCTGTAATTCCTAACTGTCGAGCCCGATTCCCAGTGCGCTCGCTAAGGCGCGCGTAATTTCCCGTGTATTTCCCGAATTACAAAAAGCGGAATTCCAATAATCAATAGAACTTTCGACAAATGGGGGCCCAAACAAAGCGCATAAAATCAAGAAAAGCGACGGGGGTTTCGTGGGGGCGGTATGATACAAAAAAGGGGTATTGAATCAAGGGGTACGAAAGATAGCACGGGGTCGGGAAGTGGTTCGTCACATATGTGACGCGCAGGGGGTTCCAAAATTATGCGATCTCCTGATTGCATGAAAAGCTCGAACAAAGGGAATAGGAGGAGACGAAGAAGCAAGAAGAAGTAGGAGCTCGGATCAGCATGATGAGCTGGCGACAACATCCGTGGCAAGATCTCCGTGAAGCATGCCGGCTCGTGCTGTTCCGGATCCCATTCCCTGCAGTCCTATCATATGCAACCCCCTGTCCTTCGAACTTCGGAGATTGTCCAGGTGGCACTATCATGGTCCATCAGATCTCTGTGTGCTCTGCACCCCCCAGTCCAGCGAGGCCTATCGAATCGGAGCATAAGTTGACATGATCGTCAATGGCGTGATCTTCGCGAAACTGCTGATTCGTATGGCTCGGAGGACACGTGGCGGGTATTAACACCGTGTGGGAATGGGGAAGTAGACATTATACATGGGGGGGTGTCGACAGGGATCCCTTCCGCCGTGATCGGGAGTTCCTCGTAGCTGATGATCTCGTGAAAGGGGGGAAACCGATCACCGCTGCGAGGGAGGGACGCGAGATAGTCGGGGTAAAGGGTGGAGAAAGTGCGGAAGAGCGTCACGCGAAACAGCTCGTGATGGCGACACGCTGGGATGGACTTGTGATTACGCAGTAGACTTCTACTGCGTTACTCTGCTCCCACGCGGCACTAAACAAGAGAATGTGTAGACAGAACGTGGGGTTTGCGGCTTGAAGGGAAGGGTGGGGATGGACGGTGACGGCGAGACGGGTGGAGAAAAAGTGACGGAAGGTATTGGGAGGAAAGGGGTTGCTAGGGAAGGTGACGGGGGTAGAGATCTGGGAGAGGGTAAGGTAATCAAGGGGACGGCGGGATAATGACCGGGGACGAAGGCCGATTTCCCGCATCGGTACGTGGACGAACTGGGGGACGGGTTGGGGTGGAGGGGGAGGGGGATCGACTCCGTCTCCGTCACGATGTGCTCGGAGCCGCGGTTGCTGATCCGCCATCTTCGGGCTCGGGGGGCTCTAGATCCCTGGTTGGGTCGTCGTTGATGCACAGGCTCGCCCCGCTGGCGATCTCCAGCTGGTTTTTCCCGGCGGCGATCTCTTCCCTTCTACGTGCTCCTTCTGGATCTTCCGCTTCCGTGCCTGTGCGCGCCGCTTCTTCCGGCAAGTCCTCCCACTCCGATCCGACTTCCTCCTCTTCGTCTTCTTCTTCTTCTACCTCCTCTTGTTCACTCTGCTCCCCTTCGTTGTACTCACTATAACTTCCCTCCTCCGACGTTTCTTCGTCGGCGTCGCGCTCTGCTTCAGTGGCTTCCTCTTCTCCTTCAAACGCCTTCTCAGGCTCTTCCTTCGGATAGAAGGCGCGATAGATGATCCCGTACGGCTTCAAGTACTCCTGCCGCGATGGCAAAGTGCTGTCACTCCCGAGTTCTTCCAAGCAAGCAGTCCACTGAAGATACGGTGCTAATGTCCGCGTGATGACGTGCGGAACGGGGCTGTCATCACTTTGCGAAACGATGTCGAGGGAGAGATCGTCACTCAGTTGTACGAGCGAGACGACGAGTTCTTGAGTAATCGGTTGGCGATGGTCCGGCCGCATCGATCCGAAGAGAAAACCGAGAAGATCACCCTCCACGTCCGTTCTCCAAGCCTGCAGGATCAACAGCTCCAGGTACTCCATACACGCAGGATGCTCACAGGTCCGTGTCCACGTCACCTCCACTCGGGCCAAGCACACAGACAGATCGACAAAGGTCTCGCGCCACACCTGCCAATGCCCAGGATCAAGAAGCGGGACGAAAAGAGGCTCGAACAGGAAAGAAAGGCGTGGATGGAGATCGGATTGCCAGAAGGTGGGAAAAAGAGAGGGGAGACCAAAGGTGGAGAGAGGAGCGAGAGGAGCCGCGCGGTTCATTGGGGGCGTTGGAAGGGATGAGGGTGGGGAGCACGACTGCCGGCTGGAGCGGAGACGTGCGAATTCCGTCACAGTTGGTTCCGGACGTCGGGACCAGATTGTTCCCCGGACGCGCAAGACAGTGATGCCACTCAACTGACAACTGATGCGTCCACTCTCGTAAAGAGGTCAAGATTGCGGTATGCCGGAGTGGGCTGACCGTGCTGATGTCGCCGCTGAAGGCAGCGACCGTGGTGGCGTGGCTCGTCCTTGGAGCCGCTCGTCGATGAAGAGCCACCAACTCTGCCAATACCACTGCCTGCTGACTCCCGGCGAATCGGAACGCTGCAGCAGCACACACTCCCTGGGTGCGGAAAAACTGCGCCACTATTCGAAGATCAGGACTGAGCCGCGGATGACGAACTTGCCGGATCTGAGAGATGTAGCCACATGGCTGCAGCAAATGATCGCCAAGAGCTTGCTCCGTGATGAAACTCATGGCGAGGACGGGAAAGAAGATGAAAGAGGGGAGCCGGAGGGAGAGAGCGAGGCGGGAACTAGATCGTTTTCGCCCTCTTCTTCAGCAGATGAGGGAGATGGAGGGAGATTAGAGGGAGGGCGGGGGACGGATATAAGAGGTATGGTGGACGATGGGGACGGAGCTATGAACCAACCAATCAATCAATCAATCAATCAATCAACAACAAAAAAAAAAAGCAAAATCGAATAAAAAAATCAATCAATCAATCAATCAATCAATCAACCAGTCAATCAATCAACGAAAAAATAAAATCCGTGAAACTAATCAATCAATCAATCAATCAATCAATCAATCAATCAATCAATCAATCAACGGAAAAAAAAAAAAAAAAATGCGTTTTTTTTTTYTCAATTTCTTTCGATTTCGCCCATACCCCCCCCCACCAAAAGTTGATCTTTTTCGTTTTTTTTTTGTGGGGGGGGGGTGGGGCCGGGGATGCACCGCCACGTGGCGTATCCCGAATTTCGAAAGTTGCTCCCCGACGACCACCACGTGGCTTTAAAGCCGCGCGGACGCGTCCGTGGGGTCCGCGGACTAGCCGTGTCCGCGGATTCGGCCGTGGATGGCCGCCGCCGAGGGGGATTCATAGCTTCTGACCTCTACAAGGAACTCCTTTTTTGCTCTAGAAGCCGGGCCGTCCCGAAATCTGACTGCAAATTATACTGTCCCCTCTACCTTTACCTCGGGGTCGTCGTTTCGAGTCTCTGGTTGCTAATTTAGCAGGCCTGATGAAAGGCTGGCTCTCATGCCTGTCTGTCTTCCGAGAGCAGCTCCTTCTTTTGTTCGTCAAAGACCCAGATGGTTGCTGTTTCAAGAGCCTTAATCCTAGCCAAGGAGCTAGGTCTACCCCTTCTCTGCTCTTCCCAGCAAAGGGTTAGGATCCTAGAAAGTTTCACCCTCACCCTATCCAGGCCTGCTAGTCCCAGATCGTTAGGCTCACTCATGCCTAATGCTCCTTCGCTTGCAGGTAATGACTATGCGAATGAGCTCCAGAGGGTCGAGGTTTTCCAACCCAACTTCACAAATCTTACCAATGTACCTCCACGAGATCGTCGAGCTGCTCATGTGCTGGCCCCAACCTTCAAATGCGTATCCCAGGTTGTTCAACCAGGACCAGTCGTTATGACTCGGGTTTAGAAGGCACCACAAGAGGACATGTAAGTCTGAATCCGTAAAGCGAAACTGATTTAGAATCTCAACCGTTCTTCCCACTGCCTTTTTAGCAGTCTCAGAGGGGTAGATTCTCTCGAAGATGAACCTGGGTACCTCCACCACGTGGCCGGGAGCAAAACGCAGGACCCAGCGTATGTCACCYGGTATGCAATTCGACACCCTCTTGGTACCTCTACCTCGTTAACTAGCTCCTCTAATCTGGTTCTAACGGCCTGCTCGTGCCAAAGAGGATCCTCCCCCAGTTCAAACTCAAAACTGCTTCCACGAGGCCTTCTTTTGAAAGGAAGATCTTTGCTCGTCCGACCAGCAAGTTACCTTCGTTGCTCACGGTCAGGCAGACGAATGCCTTGCCACGGTAGGTCCGAGCTTCTTTCCTTTGAATCCACTGAGCTCGAGGGATAACTGCTAAGCCTGACTTTGGGAGGGTGATCCGGCAGACTTCGCCTTCCTCCTCTATAGGGTGTATAGAGGCCCAATGTGTCCCCAGAACCCTTTTTATTATATTTCCCTAAGAAGGCTYGTACCCCTTCCGGTTTGCCACTAGCTCCTCTCCAAAGATACACGTGTAGGGGWYGTCGGCGACGTGCGCCCTTACCTCTTCGAACTCCCTCAGCCACTCCAAAATCCCAACCRACTCTCTCTTCACTRGTACCCCCGTGTCGACACACCGGGTGTATAGCCAGAACAACCCCGAACCCCGGATTCCTGACCGATGGGCAGATCGAAGTACTTCTATAACCTTTTCTTCCAAATCTCGAAGGAGTGTACGCACCCAAAAGTCAGGCAAGACAGGGTGAAGGACCTTCGAGGCACGGGGGACCTCGCCTGGTTYCGCGAATGATACCAGCGTCCACGATTCGAAAGTCTCTTCCTTGTAATCCGCTCCGACMAAATCGCTCGCTACCTTYCTTGCGGATTCGCGGTAGCTGGTATGTACCACTCGGCCGGTTACGAAGCCCCTCSAAAAMTCGGTCCAGGAACTCTCGTCCAAAAAAATCGCCGCATGTATCTCAAGGAACCTGCCGATATGCGGCGGACCACCTCTTTGGACCCCTTCCTTCCACGTCAGGCGACGCGCCCGAACCCACACGTAAGCGCCCTCTCTGATTAGTCCCCCCATGAAAAAAAAAAAAAAAAAAAAAAACCTGCAGAAAAACAATGTTATGCAGAAAAATATATTGAACAACTTTTGCCTTGTGGTCATATCCAAAAACGTTACTGAAAATAAAAAATCACATACGTTTCATGTTTTTTTCTTTATAAAAAAAAAAAAAACCAGCTTTTGCCTCACGAAAATTAGTTTTTGAATTTTTAAAATTTGAAGACGAAGTCAAAAAATAAAATAAAACATTCCGCAATTGAGATTTCGAAAAGATATACAACCCCATACTTTTTGTTTTTTTTTTTGAGAATTTTTTAAAGTCTAAAACGATTTTTGAAAGTCGTGGCCGCACCCAACCACGGCTGGAGTTGTGGCGGCCTTGAATCCCTTGATGAGGGTCGCCCTCCAAGSTCGACCCYGCGGACGCGTCCGCGAGTGTTTTGTAGTCTCCTAAGCGCCCCTCTCTCCGCACACTCTCCTGAAAACGTAAGACGGAAAGATGGCTTGGATGCAACCTGTGGCTCGGCGGTATTCCCTATCTCGAACACAAGTCACCCGAAAACGGATCGGGAGTCGCCGAGTCGGTGCTGAAGAGGTGCTTGCTCAAAAAAATGCCTCAAGACAGGCTTAGCACGGGCTTCCCAATAGTCCGCGCGAAGGCACCCTAGAACCCGATTGACGACGTAGTCTACCCAGGCCTCTTGGCTCAAGTAGATTGTTCTTTCAGCGAGGACTTCAGCCTGTCAGGCTCTCCACCCGTTTGCTGGCCTATTCCTGGTCCACTGATCTCCTACCCAAATCCCTACAACGAACCGAGCCCAAAGAAAAACCCCTTTTTCAAGCTCGATACCCCTCTCGTGTCCGGCCAAGTATCTTTCGGTGCGATGGTCCAAAGGRACACTRAAACCCTCCCACTCCTTGTGGAGGTCRKCCCTTTCGATTTTAACCCCGTTGTTTCMTGTTTCTTTTACAATTCTARTCATGCCCTACCTCTCTCCTCCGCCAGCTTGCCTMTGAACTWCCTCTYCGATGATTGCTCCTAACACCTTCCAATCATCCGACCCGTCAAGATAGACGTCGGGTATAACTGGCACCAACCTCGAGCCTCGCACATAAGTCTGGTAGCCTAGSTCGTARAAATACTTRATCCCGTAMCTCCCCAACAATCCCCTCTCCAACYGTGAATGGCCAACTGCTTTTTCCCAGCTACGTAGGAAATCTTCCCCTTRATCTAACCCTTCTTCTACATAGAGAGTTATRTYAAAGTCTCCGGTCCACAAAAAAAAGGTATAACACCCCACATCTACCTCTCYGTAACTGCCCACACTGATGCCGGCTGGCTCAACCTCTAGAACTCTCAAGCTCATAGATCGAKATTCGTGAGAAACTAATCCTACCCTCCACYTRTTTGCCTTTGSAYTGTCTCCGTGATGATTTCCACCAGCACTTTCCAACCGYCTGAACCGTCAAGATAGGTGTCAGGTATCACCRGCGTCAGGCGTCTGCCTCTGGCATARGTTCGGTAACCTAACGCTTAAAAATACTTAAACCTGTTGCCCCTTAGTTYCTCCCTTTTCCACCGTGAGTGACGAACTGCCTCTTCCCAACTACGGAGAAAACCTTCCCCTTGATCCTGCCCTTCCTCCACGTAAACGRCAATGTCAAAGTCCCCWGTCCACAGGCGAAAAGTATAACACCACACGTCGATCTCCCCGTAACTAACCACACTGATACCTTCTGGTACCACCTCTAAGCTCATACACACATCTTAATAAAAAACCCTTCTTTCTAGTCCTAGCTGCTCGAGAGACCACCCCTTAACCTGCAAGGAGAAGGTGCTTGTGAGCCCAGTAGGATCAAATGGACTAATGAAGGAACGTCGTCTCACTCGGCTACCCTCCTGTCCTCCCCCGCTGAGAGGCTCCCGTACTTCCAAGCGTAGAGACTAGCCGCAAGCACAAGTTATCCTCGAAGAGGGGTGGCAACCCCCCCCCCCCGGAGTGACAGAAGGTTAACCGACCCCCCAATTTTCACCCCCATTTATAAGAAAATCAATAGGCCATTTTAACCATACTTCACACCAATCTGTAGAGTGCATTTCTTACTAACTTATTGTAAAACAAAAGCCGAAAAAAAAAAATTAAAAACATATAAAAGAGCAAGTCAAAAGTGCACTGTCATGAAATTTTACCAATAGAGTCGGACCGAAGCCACACGCCTATGCCTTACGTCTCCCACTGAGCCGACACTTAGTCCTAATTTATCCTTTGCAGTACCACGCCCCTACTCAGCCCACCTCGAGCATGGAATTACCCGGGTCCCAGGACTTTTATCTGCCTATCAATCATCAATCGCTAGGCTGTCTAATCCCCCCCCATACGCTCCGCCTCCAATCGTGAACTCTTCTACCTTCCTTCCCTCCTGCTTTCCTCGCCACCGTCTTGCTCTCTCCTCTCTTTGAATCGGAGTTTTCCTTATCTGGGCTTCAAAAACAGTGGGAGGGGATAAATTCAGCAAGAKAGTCTCTYYWGTTGGGYCTGTCAGGGTACGTACCTCAAAGTCTTCGATCCCCTTCAATACTCRTTATCCTAGTCCCAGTAGTCCTCCAACTCTAAGTCCGAGAAGTCGGCAAGGCACYGGTCCTCCCAGGACCCGGCCTCCGAGCCTCCCCCCGTCATGTTCTCAGATYYCCAAACGACGCAAACGTTRTCCCTTTGCGAACCCCTATCTTGGATTGGTACCCTTCCCTCTCTTTTTTTGACTTAGGGCGGGGGTATTTCTAYTCTCGRGTCGGCCCTTTGGACCGTACCTCTTTCTTCCTGACCGGGGATAACCGAACCCCTTCCTTCTCTCCTTGTTACTATGAGTCTCGTCGTTAGTCCCTAAGGGTCGAGCATGATAGGTAAGGCCCTTTCCCTTGGAATTAAACCCCTTGGATCCCACACGGAAGGTATCCCAGGACCCTCTCGAATCCCCCACTCTTCTCTCTCTTCAATACCCAYGATTTCTATCCCACGTGCAGACCCACTTACACTATTTTCTTGCGTGATTTTTCCCCTTCGGTTATTTTTCACCCTCATTCAGACCAAGCAAGCAGGCAAGCTCTTCACCCTCTTGTTTTATCAATTTTACAAAATAAAACACACCAAAGTTTCACCACCCAGMACGGATCTGAGCTGTTTTTCCGGAAGTCTYAAGTGGGGTTGGCGCGGACCTGCAAAAAAAAGGAGATCCTCACATTCCAAGTCCCAAGACCCCAAATAGCCCTGCACCCCTTCCCAATGAAAAAAAAAACAACCGAGAACACGCACGAAGCCGATTGATGGAAGGGACATCATCAAGAACGTGGTCCGAAGAGGAGGCCTCCGTAAAAAATCAATGTCGTAGTCGCAGGAAAGTCGTGGTCGCCAAAAAGTGGTTGTCGAAAGTCGTCCCAGAAGGGATTGTCCATTCTTAAATTTCAGGGTACCATCATCTTCCCACACACTCCTCTCGTTCTTAGGTACTTGGACACAACCTACGTATGGTTGGGTGCTACTCACTCTCATCTGCGTACCCAAGAAATCCCAGACCCCTGACCCGTTGTCTGTTCGTTTCACGGTCAGGTTATCAGGATAGCAGACTTCGAATTTCCTGCGAATTTCTTGCACCAGGTCCCCACTACCGTTTCGGTCAACCACAACAATGCTGACGTCATCCATCAGGCGACAGCCAAAAACACATCTCTTCAGACTCCCGAGGCTGTTGAGAAACAAAAACTTAGCATAAGCACACATGATACAAGCAACTGGTGGGCTGGTGCTTTTGCCCATTGGAATTCCCACAATTTGCCTTGGTATCACCCCGTTGGCTTTAATATATGTATGATGTAGTTCGAAATTGACAAAGCTCTTCAATGTATCCAGGTCGATGGTCTGCCAATGATCGTCCCCTGTAGTCTTGCCAAAAGTACAACCTCGTCCACGCGGGTTAACCCGTACCATATTCCGTCCCTTCTCCTTATGGTACTGGATTACCCAATCCACTGCCTCCCTGATATCGTCGTGTGGCAGTTTACTAAACATGTCTTTAATGTCGTATGACATGGCAACAACTCTAGATTGTGTCCGCACAACCTTCTCAATACGACTGTTGAGACTCTCAATACGTGCTACCAACACAGATACAGACTGTAGGTTAAAGTGCCAACGAGCCGGCAGTGTGAACAGCAACTGATTGAGAGCCTTAGCAGCATTTCTACATGATCGAATTATGGGCTCTGAGTAGGTGGGGCAAATGGGACGGTAGCGATCAGTGTCCTTATGTCTCGGGATAACATAGGCCTCACCAATACTACCTTTGACATTCCATTTGGCAAACTTTGTCAGTCCGGTTACCTTCAGCTCTTGCCTAGTATCTCTCAAGATTTTCATCTCAGATTTGCTTTCAACGACATAGCCCGGGCTACCCACAAACAAAGAGATCATCGCATCATAGTAAATCTTCGGACAGAGTACAAATGTTTCCCCGGGATTCCTATCCAAGGGTGTGAGAACAAGGCCATTTAGTCTTCTCTTCAACTCCAAGACATCGTCCATCAACAGATACCTTCCATTCTGCATGTGCTCATTGCTAACACATCTACTCGCCTCCTCTCGGCTCACCTCGGGAATTCTTGTTTTGCAGTTACTCCAAGCTCCCAGTCCGTCACTGATTTCTTCCCTGAGTAGCTCTGCCCTACTTGTGTGCGAATACTTTGGTATATTATTTGCATTACATAGCATAGGATTCAGCCCCCCCAACTCCTTAAGACGAAACTGCACATGTTCGCCTATCCTAGGATAGGGTAATCGTGTACATTTACAGGTCAACACGTCTGCTTTAGCAAACAAACGTTGATTATGCAACATATCCGCAATCGAGGGATTTTTTGTTCCCACGATCCGGATATGGCTGCGTGCAGATGTCTTAAGGCAGTCAGGCAGATCTAATTCCCAAAGTTTATAGTTAACGAGTTTTCACACTTCCACGATCCGAATCCTGTTATCGTACTTGATTCGAACCGTTAGCTTGGCATTCACGTGCCATCCATATTGTTCCCTTATCACTCTTCCAATCAGTCGGCGCAGATATGCGGTTGTTGAAGCTCGTTGAAAATCCTTGGCGGTTCCGTTAAATCGTATCAAGTCCTCTAGACTACATTGTTTAAGTAGGTCAATGCGTTGTGGATTACGTAGAACAGTCACCAAAAAAGATTTGTCTGGACCAATTTTCGGAACCCATCTACGCAATTTGCAAATTTCCAGTTCGCCACCGATTTCCAAAAACTTTTTACATTCATACAATTTAGAGACCTTACCATCGATCTTTACAATAGAGCATCCGTAGGCTTTACGAATCGCCTTCCAACCACCACACCAACTACTACCTCCATCAGAGATCAGTCGAACCTTAGGGGACCCTGCCTTCTCCAAATCAGATAGAAAYGCAAAAACATCGACATGCCATTCATCTTCAGTAACCGATCGGATCTTAATTGGTGCAAGTGGTCTATGTGGTAACTCAATCTCKTTCACAATGCAATCCCGACGCCGCTCGTTTTTTCCTTTCCTACTCYTGCACTTCTTCCTATTCCTACTCTTGGCACTYGACACTTTCCYTGTGGTATTAAGTACGGGGCACCAASGTCRGATAKACARYTGTTCTAATGAGATCAGATCCTCCGTGATGCAACCGTYCACTGGTATCAAGACATAAGATTCAGCACYGAAAACTCGCCACCATCTATACAGGTGGTTATTCTTCGTACCTCGGGAGCTATTTGACAAGTGSTCCTTCCATCTSGTGTGAGCAGATCTACTGGTTTGACCAACATAYTGAGCCCGACAGAGTGGTGACGTTAGGATATATACACAGTCCCTGGGATCCACGTAAATGTCAATTYCATGTCSTGYGTACAGTCGATACCAAGAGTCTAAGCACTTCCTAAGCCARCGGATCTCGCCCTYAAYAGTAAGTAGGATAAGTACAAGACGAAATACGACATCCAGATCCAAACCACTTACCCCTAGTCTACACAAAYCGRTGCAGACATGACAGAGTTCCCACAATTTCTAGGTGCTCCATGGGTATCACACGTCGTCCGTAAYATTACCCTCCGCTCCAGCGGCCTCRCCTGGTTCATCCGAAGGTTTTTCGAACTCCTCCTGCTCTTCATCTGACCCGTACGCCACTTGCGTACGCTTATCAGTGATGGCCAATATGGCCTGCATCTTCTTCCCTTCACATTGCACATCTTCGGTTTTACAAATCTTCTTGAGYTYGTCCAYGGTACATTCTGCTAGCTCTCGCAGAATGTCGGTGACGTAYTTSAGTCTCCCCAATCCTCCGCAAGTTGCAGGGATTTTCTTCCTCGTGCCGCCCGCCTGTCTTGGGRTCCTTCGCTTAGGAGTCAACTTCATAGGTTGCCTCTTGCAGCTCAATTGCAGTCGCTCGGAGAGCTTAACTGGTTCGGCTGCCATCCGCCTATTAGAGCGCTTGGCGGGTGTCTCCATTGGGGGACTATCTTCAACAGGCTTATCTTCTCCCCTCTTCCGCTTTTCATTGATTGTTAGTCTGCCAGCTCGGTTGCTTAACGCTTCAACGTCATTGTCTTCTGAGTCCTGGGTATCTTCACAAGAGGATTCAGAGGCTGCACTCTCCGGTATCTTGGCCTTACCCTTTCCAATTTCCTTGAACACTTTCGTTAAACGAGATTGCAATCTCTCCTCCAATCCGCCCACATGCATCGAAAGATGCATCAGCATATCCTTCCTCATTCGTTCTTTAGCGTCTTGTTGCGCTTTAAGCTCCTGTTTCTTCTGCCGCCGATCAGCCTCTAAGCGCTCACGCTCATCGGCTTCTTCTTTCTTATGCAGTTCACCTTCTCTCCTCATCCGTTCTTCCTCCTCTTTCTTCTCCCGTTCCGCTTTTTCCTGCTTGCGTCTCTCCTTCTCTTCGCGCCTCGCGTTTTCTGCGGCGATAAATTCTTGCATGGAGGCCAGGGAACTAGTTAGTTCCTCAATCTGGCGTCGTACAGCCGGGTCTTCAGAGGAGGATCTTTTTCCTTCGAAACGTACGTGATGCGCCGGGGAAGATGACCTACCTCGAATCCCATGTGTACTTCCTTCTCCCATCAACCTCCGACATTGATTACGATAGTGGCCAGGTTCCCCAAACTCAAAGCAAATCGGCGCAGATCTCTGTGGTGCTTCCCTGGGATAATAATCCCACTCATGTTGTGAGGACCGGTAAGGTTCCGCGCGACGCTCGGTGTTAAAGTCGCGTAGGCCCTCCCTGCTTCACTCCTGGCTTCGACTTCGACCTCCTGGATGTTGTCGGTCTCCATCTCGACTATAGTCACGATGCGCTCCTCCAGCCATCGCCTAGTCAAGGTAAGACACAGTACTCGTATCGCCCTTGGTCACCGTCATTCAGTCGTCCAAACAACTATTGGTATGCGTCGCCACTCCAAACACTCGCACAGCTTCCAGTGCTAAAGACACTTCAAACTCAATCAGTGCATCAAGTAGTTCATGTACCATAAACATGTTCACACGCGCTCAGCTATCATCTCCAAGCGGGTTCGCATGCGCCTTCAGCAGGTGATTGAAGGGAGATTCGTACACGAAATCCAAACACAATGAGAGTGATTAGAAGTCGTAACCAAAAAACTCCGTACAGTAAAAATGTACAAGATTACAATAGCCGGTGGGTATGGCACCCCGACCGAATGCGACATTTTTTAGTGTGTTTATTTCTAAAATCCGTTAATTAAGAGGGTGAAATAGTTTGCTTGTGGGGGTTTGAATGAGGGTAAAAGAGAACTAAAGGGGGGAAAGAAGAGCCGTAAGGGAAAATAGTGTGGTAGGGTCCGCAGACGGGGGGGACCGAGTGGACACAAGGGGGAAAGAGGAAAGGGGGGTCCAAGAGGGTCCAAGAGCATTTCGAATTTGGGATCCGAGGGGGGCGCCGCATATCCTCGGCCCACACGGTTTGTTGAGGGCACCCACATCGGGTATATCTTCCGCACGGGGAAGGGTTTCGCGAGAGGGGTTTGAATTCTCGGTTCTCGACCCACGCGGGTTGAGGGCGGGGCCCGCTCGAGACACGCCTCCCGCAAGGGAGCGGAGTTCTCAAGCG